AAGTATTTTCCATCTTTACCCTTTTTTAGAATATTCTTTCCAAATGCAATTTCAAGGCTATGATCAAATTATAACTGAGCAAGTGTCTGGAGGGAGAAATATTCTTCTGCAATAATTCAGTGAATAAAGGATTCAAGGGACAATTCCCCTGGCAATACTTGTTTTGCTGTGGACAGTATTCTCCAACTGATCCTTGATCTTGGATTACATCACTCAGAGACAGTTTTTCAGAAGATTAATCCTCACCATTTCCCCAAAATCGGACTCTGTGCAGTGTTTCAGAATAGGTACACAGAAAACTGAGCAATGTCGAATCAGGGACACTTCTGATCTTGTAAATTTATATACTTACTTAATTAAAAGCATCCCCCTCTTTTGAATCAAATATCAAATACAGGATTAAGTTCCGCAATTATTCATAACTTGATACTTGAACATTCTGTTCTCCAGACTGAACAACCTGGAGAAGAGGTTACTTAAAGGAGGTCTTTGAAAATAAGGGAGAATGACTTTTTACAAGGGTAGATAGTGATAGGACAGGGGGGATCAGTTCTAAACTGAAAGAGGAGAGATTTAAACTGGATGTTAGGAAGACATTCTTTACTGTGAGGGTGGTGAGGCACTGGAACAGGTTGCCCAGAGAAGCTGTGTTTGAGACCAGGCTGGATGGGGCACTGAGCAAACTTACCTAGTGGGTAGTATCCCTGTCCTTCACTATAGGGTTGGAACCAGATGATATTTAGGGTCCCTTCCAAACCAAGTCATTCGATGGTTCTGTGATTCTGTGATTCATCTTTCTGCATTGGACTGCTAAGAACCTTAACACCTCAAAATGCTTTCTACCACTTTCTCTTTGAAGAGTTTCTATCTGTGATGTGAGATAGTCAAAAAGAAGAGGAAAGTCTGATTTTTTTTTGGCAATAGTTTTATTGGGCTTATTACCACTTTTAATTTTTTTTATATTAGGAAAGTGGTTTTTTTTAAATCTCAGTAAACAGGTAAAAGAATGAAGGGAAATAAATACAGTTACTGATTACTCTTATTAGACTTCCAAAAATTGAATGCAAAACCTTTAAAAGTCAATAATGCTGATGAAAATCCTCCTGCAAATCTCTGAAACAAACATCAAACAAATTAATCTAGAGTTTATAACATCTTTCCCCTTTTCCACCTCTAGGTTCAGTTTCATGAGTGATTGTTTAAATGGGCAAACATACAGAACACACTGGAAGCTGCCCAGGCACTGCATGCAGTAAGGTTGAAGCTGCATCTTTGCTTGGTTAAAGTGGTGTTCACCTCTCACCTGAGAAGCTGCCATAGGTGATGGTCTAACAGACTCTGCAGTTTATGGCCAGGACTGGTCCCAGAGCTTCCACCTGCTTAAGAGGGAGGACTGCAGCCCAAGGGAAACATAACATGATACTGCCAATAATGAGAAAGAACAGATCCACTCCCCTCCCAGAATTTTACATGTCTTTAAAGTTAGAAATTAACATTTAAAATCTTAATTCTGGCATACTGTTAGAGAATCACAGCAGTGCAGAAGGACTGAGGTTGGGAGGCATCTCTGGAGATCTCCCAGTCCCACCTCCTCCTAATGGCTGGGTCAGCTGGAGCACACTGCTCCAGGCCATCCCCAGTCAGCATTTTGAGTACCTGTAAGGATGCAGACTCTACAGCCTCTCTGGGTAGCTTCTGCCAGTGCTTAGTATTTTTTCTGGTTTAAATGAAATTTCTTGTATTTCATTTTGTGCCCACTACCTCCTGTTCTGCCACTGGGAACAGCTGGGAAGAGTCAGAATCCATATTCCTTAACCCTTGACACTCTCTGCAGTTTATACACGCCGGTAAGGTGTCCCTCGGCCTTCTCTTCTCTAGGCTAAATAATCCCACCATATGACAGATGCTCTGATTCCTCTGCCATCTCTTTATCCCTGGACTCCATTATGCCTATGTACTGCCTCTGTACTGGGGAGCCTAGAACTGGGAACAACTGTGGTGTCACCAGTGCTGAGGAGAAGGGAAGGGTCACTTCCCTTGATCTGCTAGAGATCTTCCTGATGTTAATCAGCCTTTCATTTTCAAACTAAATCTATTTGGTTCTTATTTTCAAGGTTTCTTCCATAACTGTGAAGACTAAATGGGGGGAAAAAACAAAGCAAGCAAGAAAAAAAACCAAACACAAAAGCCCACAGCAGAAAGAGAAAACAGAGAATGTCAGACAAGCTCTTCAGAGCCCAAAGCCAGGGGTCTAAGAAGAAATGTCACACTGACACAAGAGAACTTAGAGATCTGCCACTGCAGATGTTGTCGTTCAGTCATCCTGGCTTTGATTGCACCGTTTCCTCTATGAAAAAGCATCAGGCTTTGAGGCACAGCTGGCACCAGCTCTGCCAGTTCCTGGTTTCTCTCTGCACTCCAAACTTCCCTTAGCCCACAAGAAGTGCAGGGTCATTTATTTATCCTTGGGTGTGTGAGCCTGTGGCACTTGCTCTAGGCTGGCCTAAGAGAATCTGAGAGAAGGGTTTGGCCTTAAGCTGTAAGTGGAAACCTGTATGTGCGTGTGTGTGTGTGATGGAGATATTGAAGGGAGTATGGATGCTGCAATCCCTTAATATAGGGAACTAAGCAAATAAGGAACTGACACTGGAAGAGCAGAATGGGGGACAACAGAGGAAACAAAATTATTTAGCTAACATATGATCTATTGCAGCAAGAAACTTCACCATCTCAACAGGCTTTCCAATATTTATAAAAATGCAATAATAGGCTTAAGCAAAAAAAGGCATGAGGGTAGGCATCATGTGATGTCTGTGATAAGAGAAATGAGTAATTGAGTTGGAGTGGAGGTGAAGGCTCTCCCTGCACATACAGTGCTATTACATTCTTTTCCACTTGGATACCCTCTCCAAGCACACTAATCCATGGATCTGGAGAAGGATAATCTACTGACATCCAATTTTCTGGGATATTTTTTTTTCCTGGATAAGCCAATTTGTTGACTGAGAGGTGTGGGTGTTAACTCTTTGCTGGCTAAATGGACCTCAAGGATTAAAGATGAGTTTGTTCACAAGCACTGAGCAAGCTTGTCTTTCCACCTGTCTTCCTGATGATAGGAATAAGTTTTCCAACTAAAGGTTAGATCACTGCTGGAGTTAACATACAGGTAAAGGAACAAGTACAGGCTCTCAAAATTAGCTGAAGCAAAGAGAGAGGAATAAGCTAAAATGTTTTGGCTGTGATCTGTGTTCAGATCTATTCCCTGGAGGTCAAACCAGAATTGTGGGCAAAGCCCAGTTCTAACGTAGATATTCCTTGCTCTTACCAGATGAATGCATTTCTTTTTCCAACCACAAATGCCTTGAAGCTAGGATAAAAAAGGCCATTGTCCTTTGCTAGTGATCACTCCTCCTGGTGCTGACAAAGTTACATTGTTCTCCCCGGGAGGAGGAGGAGGAAGGCTGGGGATCAGGGTGTGGCCAGCACAGCCTCACAGGGAGCTTTGCGGGGTGTTTGCATCCAGCCACTACTTTGCAAGCCATAGTGGATATTTTGCAGCTGGTATCATAGTGGAGAGAGGTTGGATGATGATAGCTGGTGTATTAGTTCTATACTCTGCCTCCTTAAAATTGGCACTGGAAAACAATTTTGTAATTTTAAAATGGCTTGAAGTATTTAGTGGAGGGATGTGTGTGGTGGTGTTTCCTGTGCAAGCAGGGGCTTGGGTCAGTGACTTGGTTCTTTCATTCCCTAACCAGCATTTGGCAAATCTTCCTTCTCAAGTAGTCCCACCAGACTGGTAGTTCCCACTGCCATCTGGAAAGGACATGCAGATGTAGCCTGAGAAGAAGGGTGGGCTCTCCTTCTGCAAAGGCAGTTACAGGCAAACAGCATATCCTTGGCACGCAGAAAAGCAGCCCAAGAAGCACTCCAGCCCCTGCTCAGGCCTGATGAAGGTCAGTGTGGAAGTCTGTTGAGTGCTGTGCATGGCAACACTTTGCATTATCTCCCTCAGAAACCTCATGCCTTGTGTTGAGGATGAGCGTGTGTAGATAAGGATTCTCCCACAGTATATCTCAGCAGGAAGAAAAGCATGTCTAAAGGGAGAAAAGAAAGAAAAGCACAGTGATAGGACAAGGGAAGATGTGCTGGAGGCTTTTGTTACAGGTACTAAGGGACTGATTTTGGCACTGGCTGGTCTGCTGACCTCCAGACTCTGGATATCCTCAGCCACACTGGTCCACAGTTTGATCCAGCTGCAGGCATGATGAATAACCATCATGGATGACCAGGTATGACTATCCCCATGAGGGAAAGGGAGTGTCTATGGAGAGGACTTCTCCTTTGACTTCTATCTCTAGCACTGGTGGGTTAATTTTGTGTAGAGTGACAGTCTCCAAGAGCATACTTACTCACTAAAATCTCTTGTAACAAGTTTCTTTCCAAAAGAAAGTAGCATTGCACACCTCCTGTTTTGTTAATGGCTGACTGGGTGTTCCACTTGTAAGTTGACCCCAGTAACCAGATAAAAGGGAATATCAGATGGGAATTAACAGAATTAATGAATCCCACTTCCTCTCACTGCAGCCAGGCAGAACAATTCCAGTGATGACTTGCGAAATGGTCATTATTTTAATATGTAGAAGAAGGACATTTATTAGCATTGCCAAAGGGCCTGTATCCCACCCTCATGGGGTTGTACTTTCCCTTCCATTTCAGAGTGACTCCAATCCCAGTATGGACAGCCAAAACAGGACAAACTGCACTCCAGTTTCCTACAGACACATCTCCTGGCTTTCTGTGCAGATGTTGGGCCAGCTCTTTTCTGTTCCTGCTTGGCTCACAGTCTCTGTCCCATCTCTCACCAGACCTGTAACTCCCTCCAGCCATAACTGGGCCAAACTATGTTTTCTCTGGCTCTCGGATTGGGACTTTGTGATGGATCACTCTTTAGCCCTGAGGATTCCACCCATTTCAGTTCACACCTCTTCCTGCTTCAGGTCTCTAGCCCAGAGGAATGGTTATCTCCCTCCTGAAGGTATTCTGTCTTGGAGGCCAATCAGTTTGCATGGAGTGCAGGTAAGTCACAAAGCATGCAAGCACTGATGCTTCACCCAGCATTTGGGGTCATTAGGAGTCAAAAGAAGGAGCAAATGGGGGAAAGGGGCAAGTCATGTTTGTGAAGTCTTCCTTTTCAATGAGATGTGGCCCCAGCCCTTTGCTGCGTGGCTGCTTTCTCCTTCCCACAGTGTGAAAAGGTGGCAGGTTGAAATTTCAGTGCTAAGTCCATCCCATGAGGATGCTGTGCTAACTCTTGCTGGGGTAGTGGCTTGTAATTCTTGCCTACATGAAGCTCCTGGTTCTGCTTATTTTAAATTAAATGCCTTGTTTCCCAGCATGTTTACATGATGGCTTCGTGTCCCACACAGCTTACTGCTCATTCCCCACTGCCAGCCCTGCACAGGAGACACACACACATCGGTTTGCTTAATGTAAAATCCTAGCTGGAGAAATTACTGTCGGATCAGGCAGATGGACACAAGAAAGCATTTGCTGCTCTTCATTTGGTCTTCTGTCTATCTGTGTGCCACCCTGCCTGGCTCAGGAAGGCAGATGCAGCTGCTGATGAGAAGAATGAGACAGATTTTCTTTATTATTCTATCAGGACAGGAGACAGTGAAGCACTTGACATGAGAGAGTGTCCCTTGAGGTGGCTGAGGCCTGGCTGGGCTGTCAAAGTTGTACTTTCCATGAGGAAAAGAGCTGAGCAGAAAGAGGGTTAGTGGCTGTTGTAGCAGTCGATGAAGTAAAAGCCTTAGCCTGCTGTTTCCTTCCTCACTATTTCCATACTCATTTGTTAAGGTAGATGGCAACATGTCAATTTGCATCTATTACAGGATTTCTTTTATTCTAAGCATGGCCATGTCCAGCAGCATCTGGAAAGGCAAGGTGGCACTAGTTGCAATTCTCTATCTTTACGTAACAGAGTTTTCAGGAACAGGAGCTGGGGTCAGGAACCCGACACCAGATGTGTCCGCTGCAAAAAATCAGTACTGAAGTCAAAGGAGCTGTGCATGATTTGCTCTGCTTATCTGAGATCATAATATGGATATTCGTTATAAATAAAAAAAAAAAGTCCAGCTCTTTCTGCTAAACCAGACAGCTGGTCAAAATTGCACAAACATGTTGCAATCAAAACACATCTCAATAGCTGTGATTTTTTGCCTGTGGCCATGCCTGGATGTCACCTCTAAGGGGCAGTGTGTGTGTGTGCATTGCGCAGCTGGGATCAGCTGGGCAGGGAGAACCGCCTGCCGACATCATTCCACAGGGGCAAGTTGTTTTTCTGGCTGAGAAACAAGACATAATATATAGAGTTGCTTTAAGGATAAGAATAGCAAACGTGCTGCATAAATAATGTAAAGCAAGAAGAAAGTCCAGCATTGTTTAGAATATTTTATGAGGAATTTATTGCTGTTAATTGCAAGGGAGAGATTGATCACTGAGGAATCTAGTTCATTACTTAACAAAACCTGGATAAATGGTGTGTCATTTCTCTGTTCTGCTTAGCATTCTCCTTTGAAACCTCTCTGTTTATGGAAAAAAAATCCAAACATTTCAAACCAGATACAAAGTGATGCCCCAGGACCCCCCTTCCATTCTCACATAAATACATTATGAAATAAAGACAGGCAGGATATAATGCTCTCTCTCCTTCCTTTTCCTGCTCACTGACATTCTGAAATTCCCGTTGAACCTCAGCACGAAAACTAGGGGCCAGAAATGAAGGAAGGAAGGAATCCACTGCGCTGTGCCCCATATTTCCTGCTCTGAGGGCCTGCCATGGTTGCATGCAGCAAAGAATTGGGATGCTGAGTGCTCCAAGCAGGTTGCAACACTACTGTCAGCTCCTTTATCGAGGGGCCCAGCCAGCTATTGATCCAGCACTAGGAGTCACCTCCATACGACTGTGCCCAGGGCCTGATTCTCACCAGCAGAACAGTTTTGATAACAAGGGTGTCTGCATGAGGTCCTTTAAAAGGTCTTTGCTGTTAATTTGTTATAGAAAGAAGCAAGGGGAGGTGAAAAGCCAGCACATTATGCTAATTTTTTATCCCTTTTTTCTACTTTGATTTTGGATGCAGTCTCCAGCCTTTGAATAGATGCCTGTAATGAGCCGGCTCTAAAGAAAAATACTGCGAGAATTAAAATAAGACAGGACTAACTTGGACATGCACTGGGGTGTTGATTATATCCAACCCATTGCAGCCACCGTCTGCTGCCTGTGTAATATTCATTTTCCAATTATCAGCACCAGACAAGTAAACTAAAAGGGCACTGGGTCTAACCTTCCTTTTTTCATGCTGAAGTTGAGAAGGTTAGTCAGCTGAGAACTGCTGAATCCAGTTTCAGCAGCCACAGAAACAAGTGAGAGGGTTCCATCACCCAGCAAACCATCCCCAAGCCACTCCAACAATACTGTGATGACACTGGGCAGAACCAAGCTGGATGGATACAGAAGCACAGTGATATGCTTAGTCTCCAATCCCCACAGCTGCAGAGATATCAGCCCTACAGTCCCACACAGGGCCACACATGCCCCTGGGTGAGAATTGCATGACCTGATCTTGTAACAGTAAGGTAATTTTCAAATTAATCTTTTACTAACTGTGTTTAAAAAAAAAAAAATTATCTCTAATTGGTATTTTATTTCTAATTAAATGGTTTGGTTTTCAGTTACCAGCACGACATTTTTATTTTTGAATCTCCATTTTATTTTGATTTAGTTTACACAATCAGTAAAACTCTTGAATCCAAATTTTCATTCAACCCAAAGCAAACTTACTTTCACTCTTCAGTTTAGCAATGTTTTGTATATAATGTCAGCCTAGAAGTATTTTCACCCCATTTTTTTCCTCTGGAACTGCTAATTCATTGAAGTATAACTGTAGTTTCAGTGGACCCTTCCCTTCTGCACCTTCCAATCACCAAGCACAGATAATGCTTTGCAGAGTTCAGGTTTTGTTAGATCACCAAGACAGACCCTTTCCTGGACATCTCTTAGTACCAGGGGCTCCCAGCACCATGCAGGGCACTACATAACAAAAAGAACTGTGATTTCTTTTTAAATGGCATTGGATCATTCTTCTTCAGGTTTGTCAGTGCTCAGCGATAAAATTCATTGGCAACTGCTTGTGTAAACATTTGAGAGATGACTGCCTATTTGTGTGGATAATAATATGTGAGGCTTAGTTATGGGTAATTTTTTGAGGTTTTAGCTTTCTTGTCTTTTCATTCTTTCTTTTTTGAATTTCTATAAGGCTTTAATGAAAATCAGGCCTAATTAAGTCTGGGAAATTTTTTTTTGTCTGTGCTTTGATTATTGCAAAGAAAACTCAAGGATTGTAATGGAGAACAGCCTGTTAAGAAGAAATCAAAGTATTTGGGTAGTTTTTCTAAATATTCACCTGTCTCATTCTGAAAAATATTCCTACAAACACAAGGGAAATCTCTGGGTCTGAGCAGCAACACATGGGTGTTATTGCAGCCACGCTGACTGCAACAGAAAGAATTACTTTGATTGACCTTCTTTGGGCCTTGAATAGTTTCTGAAACAGCCAGAGAAAAAGCTGCCCCTCAGAAGCCACAAAATATCACCTGCTGGATCACTTCAAACTTTATGTCTAGGATGAGGTGGGGAGCTGGTCCCTCCCTGAGTGGGAAGGGGCAACGTTTACCTGCCTTGTCCTGACTTGCCCTACCTGCCGTAGGCGTTCCCTGCCACGGTTGAGTCCCTGGTAGTGGGGTGACCTCTCCTTGGTGAGCTACTTTGTCTCTGCTGAGGAGTGGTCCTCCATGCACCCCAGGATCCTCTAATAGCTTGTTCATTTTCATACCTGTCCCTCTCCACTGACTGTACAGAGAGACTCCAAAACCAGCAGCCCTGTAAGTCAGGCACACTATGAATCTATCACAGATTTTTTGGGCATAGATGCAGTATTAGGCAGGTAAGTTTGTTTTCAGCCTCACAGTTGTTTGAATACAGCTCCAGCTGCCTTGTGATAGAACTGCTACACTGACATATTATTGTATTTTTTAAAAATGGGTTTAGTCAAACAGTTACAAATAATTTGAATTTTGGAAACCAAAATCCTTTCTTTTTTTTCCTGTGGGCTCAGTGCTGGAGAAAACAGGTGATTCATGATATAAGTTATGCTCTTCATTTGTTGAGTACTGCAAAGATTAGGTTAAGCTGCTTGTGCACAGTGCATATGACTGAGCCAAAACACTGCCCTGGAAAATCTGGTCCCTTCTGCTGTAGTGACAGCACACAGCTCCTTGCTTTGGGAGCCCTAATGGTGCTGAGGGTCAGGCCAGGCACCAGTGCTCAGCTATGGGTCAGCATTTCTGCCTCTGTATTTGCACATCTTTGTGTGTCCCTTGGGCCCATCTATCTTAGGTCCAGCAGGATGGCCCATCTGTGTCCTCGTGCATTTGCAGACAGTGACACAGAGCTGTGATATTCCCTTCCTCCACCTCCTCTCACTGCTGAAATTGAGAGAATTGTAACAGAGTGGTTTCCAGCAGAGAACAGGAATCAAGAGCAAGGGATTGAACCTTCACATGTATTCATGACCACGCACACTTTTATGGACCCAATAGTACTGTCAAGCATTTCATGGGGCTTTCTATCAAGGACACTGTATAACAATAAGTTGTATTGTACTGCACTTTCAGTGAATATATGAGGTAATTGGTGTGCAGTTCCCTAGACTAATACTGGAAGACGGGCACCTGTAGACAGAGAAAATGAAGTTTAAAAATCTCTTTGCTGACTGTTCCCCCAGCTGGGAGAGCAAAGCACAGCCAGTAACAGTTGCAGATCAGTTGTTCTTAACCCTCTCCAGGCCTGGGTCACATCCCTCCGCTGCTGCCCTGCCTTGCTAGGACGGAGCTGGGGACTGGTCTGATTTAACAGTGGAGGGAGGGGTGTATGCTTACACCCCCTGCCCCTTTCTAAGGGTCCAAAGAGGCTTGCCCCTTTCCACAGTGCCAAGCTGAGATGTAAGCCTTGGGTCACCAGGTGACCAGCACATAGAAGGCCCAGTGAATAAGGAGAAGCCCCTGCCAGCCTGAATCATAGTCCAGGCTGCTGTGAAGGAGCGGCTGCTCCCAGGCACAAAGAACCCCCAGTAGCTCTCAAGGGCTGTGTAACTCATTCTGTCGTGGCTGGTCGTGGAGCACCTGGGGGACCAGAAAGAGCCAAGCCTGCACCTCTCCCCTGGGCAGTTCCCCCAGGCCACCATGGGTAATACAGGAGATGTGGGCCTGCAGGCAGAGAGCCGCCCCGTACTTTCTGTGTAGTTGCATTCAAACAAGATATTTATCTTGGGAGCCATAAATGATATCTCTTCCCATTCAAGGCCTGATCTGTTAATCTGTTGTCCAGCTACAGTCAGTTGGACCATTTAGTTTAACTCTTCTGGGCATGGTGTAAGTCATCCTCAAAACCAGCACTTGGCACAGTGCATGACCAGGAATCCTCCTGCTGCTAAAGTGCTGGTATACCCTGCTGAGCTCAGCTGGGAGGAACACAGTATATTTTTTTTTTCTTGTTCTTTCTTACTCTTTGAGCCATTACAGAGCCATTTCACTGACATGTGGATTCCCAGATGTCCAGAATGTGATTAGGTTGAGTCATCCTTTCACATAGATTTCTTTATTAGTAGTATTTCTAACATTTACCCACTTAACCATGAACAATGATATTTATGGGGAGCATGTCCATCCATACATAAATATTGCTGGTAAGATGCCCAGGGACAACCACTTGCTAGACAGCAGGACTTTAAAAATGTAGGCAGTGTATTTAAGCCCACCCATAGTGATTTATCGCCTGACTTAATTTCCACAGTAGGAGATCATGCTGGCAGTTCTACCATGCTCACAGTGGCCAAAGACCAGCTTACAGTGTTAGTAGCACTGTGTACCATGGTAAAACTGTGCTCAAGGCAATCTATCACCCATTGCTTCCGGGGCTAGTTATGGATTCAGATCACCTACCCATGTGTGAGAATGTGAACTTGCACATCACTGGAGACTCTGGAGCTTTATTTGCACCACACTGTGTATGCAGGCCAGTCAGAGAGTGTCATCCTCTCACCAAGTGACAGAACAGGTGCAAAGCACAAGGAAAGATTACTTGAAAAGTAAGGGGAGACCTGCAACTCACAGAGATTTGTCCCTCATAATACAACAATGAAAAATGCAGCAGCGGGATTTTCAAAGCAGCATCCTGAGAAAAAATGAAAGGGTTCTGTGGACATTCCCCATCAGATGTAGCAATTCATGGCAGAGCAAGAACAGACAGCACATTACAAACTCTCTGAAGGCAAGGGCAGTGTTTGTAGTCTGTGTTTGTGTAGCACCTTGCAAAACAGTGAGCCAGGGTATGACCTCATTTCCTGGGTGCTACTCTAAAGCAAAGGCTACTAATAGGTTAAGTAAAATCCATAAACAGAAGCAAGTATGCTGGTCAGTCTGCCTCTCTGTGAAAAGGTTGTATAGTTACCCGTTAGCAATATAGCAACTGTGGTGTGATAAGAAAAAACAGATACACAATATTTGGCATCAAATCCTTTTCTTAAGATGGCTGCAGTATTACAATCTAAACTTCTTTCTGTATCCTGTTGACTATTATACTCTTCCATGTTATTGTTTAACCATGTCTGAAGACAAATGTTTTATATTAATTCTGATTTTCCTTAATTTCTTATTTCATGCCACTGAGCAAATTAATCCACTGAATCAAGGGCAATTCTTTCTGTTGGGTAGCTCTCCTTGCTCATTATTCATTTCTGAAGGAGTGAAAATCCTTTATGTAACTTCACGTTTCTCTTGCTTACAGTACTCTCGGTAAATACGAGGAGCTGTTTTTCTTCAGACATTTGCAACTGGGTTGGGAGCTGGCTGGAAATTGCCAGTGTAGTAGAGATACATTGGTTTAGCCCAAATCCAGAAAGGATCTAAAGTCCATTCGGCAGGGAAGTTTACTCTGGGATTGCTTTGGGCATGGGGGGGCAAGTCACACACATGCTCCTAATGTATGCCCAGGAGCTGCACTCTGTCTCTCTCAAGAGAATATAACCAAATTCAAAATCTTTTGCTGGGCAGAATGTCCTGAGCAGAGTTGCAGTATTCAGCAAGGACTGTCTGGTTGCCAGGGAATCTAGAAGTCCAATTAGAGCAAAATTGAATCTTTTTTAACCTCAATATTTCGGAAAAGAATAATCTGCAACACCTGCAGATTGCAAAACTTTGCAAAATATTCATATGGATTACCATTAGGTATTACAATATCTAATATAATATGAACTATTTTTATGTATATGTTTTTATATATGTATATTATTTTTATATAGTGCACCTTTTGGGGTCCCAGTGTAAGTCACGTTCCCAGCATATTTCCGGTGTATTCTCTGGCTTCTTCCAGCACCCACATTCAAGAGGCAGACCTAGCACTGCCTCAGGTGCCGAGGTTGCAGAGTGGATGTGGCCCTGCAGAAGCAATGGATTACAGGCAGAGGCCAGAAGTTTGGCTAGTCCTTATCCCACAAAGCACACTAATGCATAGCAGATGATGGCACAGGGAAGAAAGGATTTCGTGCCACCGTACAACTGATTTGCAGAGTGCTCAGAGGCTGTGGGTTGCTTGTGGATGCTGCAACCACACACACATCTATGCACACCACTTCTGAAGAAACTTGTGTGATGTGGAGGCTCTTGGTCCAGTGGCTGATAGAAGGTCCCTTCCTGAGAGGGCAGTGAGTGACAGAGGGAATTAAGCTCCATCACTTCTCCTGGAGGTAGAAAAACTTTTGAAGAGCTAATTCCTTATCTTTTTATTTGTTTTAGCAAGATAGGGTTGTGTATTCATCCTTGTAGACTGATCTTGCTCATTCCAAATTGTTCATTCAACAGGAAAGTAACTATCTCTTTGAGCTATACGTTTCTCCCCCACTTCCTTGGCAGGAGATACCTGTAAAAGAAGAAGATAAATAATGTGTCAAACATGATCTGGACAGGATTCAGCTGAGCATTTTCTGACTTCCCCTGCCTGTCCTGCAGCTGTTGTGCCCCTGGTAACTTCAATTGCTGTACACAGACTTGGCCTGGCTGCAGTTTCATTCAGCTGGATCTGTGCTTCCAAATATTTTTCTGATGTAACAATCTGGCTTGGCCAGGGCTTCAAACCTCTCCCTGTGTGAACTGGGAAAAATGTATAGTAACTATTTCTGCATTCTGCTATGAACAGACATTTAATACCTGTAAGTAAAAGATTTCAGTCAGGGTGCTGGGTCAGCAAACTGCCTCTGTGGGTGCCAGAGTCTTGTGTGTCAGGTTCATATGTATGTCATAACATACTTCCAGGGCTTGGGTTGTGCAGGAAGGGAGACCTTATGTTCTAACAGCATTTATCAAAATTTTATATGATAACTACCAGAGCTCCTCTATGAATTTGCCCTGAAAATACCTTTATGAAAGAAAATGACATTCAAACAGAACTGAAAGGTGTATGCTTCTGCAGAAATGTCCCGTTATATCATATGAAGTATACGAACAAGTCCCAACAGTCTTCATTCTAAAATTGTGATGCCCCACACAAAACCTCTTGTTCTCTAGCTTGCCCTGGGCTGAGATCGTGCTTGTACAGCAGCAGAGCCACAGCAGGATCAGGAAGGAAAGTGGTGGCAGAACACCATGAGGCTTGGAATAAAGCCGTGGAGCCAAAGGGGTGGAGTAGAAGGGAATGGTAGATATTTAAACCACAAATGCCAAAGACGTATTTTAGAATGCAAATACTCAGGGGTTGATTTTTTGCCAAAAACTTGAAACTTCTCTGAAAAAAATAAAAGGGAAGGCTCTTAAAAGCTTCTACAGGAAAAAGATTAATTTCAGTCATCACTAATGACTATATTAAATGATGAATATGTTCTGTTAACCTAATTACTGTATAGAAAATGGATTGCACATTGGTATGTTCACCTCAAACATAAAATATTAAAAATCATCTGCATTTTCTAAACTCCTAGGGATTTTCTACTAATAGACAGTATGGGAGTGTGGTAGAAGATTTGAGACTTCAGCTTGGACCTCTGACTAAGTCTGGTGATCTGTGATTTTCCAAAGCTGTTTACTCACTGTTCTTAACCAGTAATATTTGGTGACTCCTTCCCTGTCATTTCACACAAGAAATCTCCTCTCCATAAATCCACTGACTGAAGATTTGAGGTCAGTTTTTAAGAATGGCACGAGAGATGTGGTTTCTCCATCAGCTCCACAAGAACAATAAATAATGTTTGGTGCATAAATTTGCAGGGCTCCAGTTAACATGCTCCCCTCAGCTATTCATTGAATTTCATGGGCTAAAATATTCTACTTTCAGTGTAAGCAGGTAACATCATTCCTATCTGCTGAAGATCATGCATACAGAGAAAGCATAGATGTGATGTAAAGCATGCATGTGATGTAAAACACTAGCAGGGAGCAGAGAGGTTCCCAGAAATTTAGAAATGTCCATTTCAATGAGGGAGCTAAGCAGGACAGTTACAAATTGTGTCATGAATGGCAGACAAACATTTAAAGGGAAGACAAGGTAGCTTTTATGTTTGGTTGTTCAGGGGCTTTTTAAGATTTTTTTTAAGATTTGAAGTAAAATCTGTTTGTCTCTAGCTGACAGCTGTGAGGGAGAGAGTTTTTTTTTCTTTAATTCATGTTATTAAATTAAAAGCTTAATTTTTGAAGAAGCATTTGTTATGAAATCATTTGTACTTGGAGAATTTTTCATTTCTTAAGAACAAAACACAGTCCTTGCCACAAATGGATTATAGACTGATTACGATACATCAAAAAAGGGAAATAGATTGATTCATAGCTGTTTGCATGCTTGTGCTTACAAACCACATCCTGCATGTGCATTTGCTGTTAGTATGATTTATAATAATATGCTGATAGTATTAACTGTATGCAAAAGCTTTGCAACACAGGGACCTGACTGAAACAGTTTAGAGAACAGTCAGGGACTGATTGAAGAGTGGATGCGGTGCCCTGGGATGTGCTGTGACTGACAAGGGCATTTTTCCACGTGTTTCCCTTAAACGGTAATTTTGGAGATTTCTTTTTAAATGGGGATTCTTTGATCTTATTATTTGCTTGCACTGCTCTGGAGGCAGCTCATTGCTTTGGGGGAATTGTTGCTTTGGAGTCATGATTTAGAAAGCTGGAGATTTAAGAGCAGAGAAGGAGGCAAGGTTGAAAGCTTAGAGGCAAATGCGAAAGAAGTTACAACTGAGGTGAAAGTGTGTGGCACTGCTGGTAAACTTTGCAGATTAAATAAACATCTCTGGCATGGTAAGTGATGCTAATAAGGACAGAGCATTCCTTAGGCAAGATCTGGACTGCTTGGTAAGCTGGATTCTTTTAGAAAGCTGGTGTCTACAAAGAGCCGCTGGGAAGGTCACATACACACAAACCAAGAATGCAGGATGCATTTTCAGTTTCAGACTGAGAACCAGAAAGTAGAAATTCTGGAAAGGATGTAGGGGCTATTTTGGATGAACAAATGAATGTGAATTCCCAGTGTGAAGCTGGTCCTACAAGGACTGATGCAATCCTTGGGCAAGTAAACAAGTATATTTAGTAAGGCTAGGGAGGGCTAATGCTCAGACATCCAGAAGGGATGTAGAAAACTGGAAAGGCACTACAAGAAAACCTGAAAGAAATTCTGCCTTGCAACTATTTTCTAACCTATCAATGGAAGGTTAAGAAGTAATTTGACTGATATGTGCAAGCATCAATATCATGAGAAAATTTATTAATCTGGTCTTCGTATATGGAAAAGAAACTGCAGCAGAGAGGAAAGCATACAAAGTACCGGGAAAAACAGATAACCTTATACCTGCTCTTCTGCAGGAAAAACAGATTACCTTATACCTGCTCTTCTGCAGGAACTGTTTGTCCCCTCTGTGCAAGTGTGTGTTTGCACCTCTTATCACGGCAGACAGACTCCCCTAATAAATAATCTCACCGTGACTGTAGTTTGCTGTAGGTAAGAGCATGAAGAGGGGTGATTACCTCAGGGAAGCTGACCTGCAGTAATTTTTTCTCTTGATGTTCAAATGTTAAAGTCCACAGGGAGGTCTGAGGGCTGTCACCTGAGGCTGGTCACATTTGGATGAAAGATACAATGCATTTATTTTTAACAGGGAGGCTTAAATATTTAGGTCAAGCTATCCAGGGATGTAGACCGTCCTCCATTAGTTGAAGTCTTTTAATCAAGTCCAGGTACCATTGTAAAAGGCACACTAATTGTTCAAACAGCGTTATAGGTTCAACATGGAAACTCCTGGACAAAATTCTGTGGCCTGTTAGGTTAAATGGTCATGGTGAACCTTTTCTGGCCTTTCACTCTATTGATCTGTGAAAAAATGAGCAGAGAATTGACAGGTAACCAGGAGCTACACAGTTCAGATTGAGGATAGCAGGGACAAGATTATTAAATTTGGTGGAAAGGGTAAAAGAAAGTTACAGAGAAACCTGCCAAAAAAATAGGCAGAGAGCTGGACTTGGCTGAAGTTACTCTGGGCTCAATGAAGCACTGGTGGGACAATCTGGGACATTCCAAGAGAACAGGGAGGTATAAGAGATGCAAGTGGCAGAGATTGTGCAATGGAGTGACAGGCAGCTCTTGAAAGAGGAAAATAAGCCCATACTGGTGGAAATGTCACTGCTGATTTAGGGGTTAGGGTAGGAAATCATTTGCCTGTTCTGACAGAGGAGAGAGCAGAGCATAATTTGGGCAGAAAGGTGACAGCCTTGGGGGAGAGGGTGCAGAGACAGAAAGTCTGGACACTGTGGAGAAGTGAGACAGACATTAGAGAGGAGTTTGAAGGATACTTGTTTTGGAGAGATACAGAAGTCAGCAGAGCATGATGAGCCTTCATTCATAGAGCACATGTTTGACTTTAATGGCAGGATTACCTGATGGCATTACATCCATGCTACCAAGGTAAAAACTAGGCCCGTCACATAAAAAAAAAGCAGTGCATTCCATTTTAACCACTCCATGACCAAAAATAAATTGTACAGTCATCCGATTCCAGACTACCAGACTGATGGCTGAATAGTTAGAACTCAGCAAGTTAGGTAATTCATCACTGAATATAAATGAGACTTATAAGATCAATGACATTTAGTGACATTAATTAACTGATTAAATTAAACCTGATATTTTAATCAGAATTTGTTTATGAAAAGCTCTGGATAAAAATGAAATTCAGTTTAACCTAGTTACTTTTAAAATTCCAGTTACCATAACAACTTCTTGTGATATCAATTAAAGGTGGTCTTTGCTTTACATTATTTTTAGAATGAGTTACCATAACAACAGAACGCTGGTTCATTTGCAAAGAGTTAAAATGCATTGTTGTTCTTTGAGAAACAATCAAAATACAAGTGGGATGCCAGGAATTAATATCCCAGAATGGTTGCACAAACATCATTTTTCAGATACCTCACGTGTAGCATGAGAGACTGATGGATCTTCTCCAGTGTGACAGGCTCAAGATGTTCCTTGGTTGCTCAAATCAGAAAGAGATTATTTATCAATTGGAGAAGAGTGGGGCTGTCAGGCACCAGAGGTATTATGAGCTGTCAGATCTGCAAGGAAAAACGATGCAATAGCAAATAAATTCACCTGGCCCTCACACGTTTCTGGAGGGCAAGAGAGTGTCTCTCAGAGCTGAGACAGTGCCTTCTTCCCACAGATCCTTAGTGGGAAGAGAAAAAAGTGACAGATCATTTCAAGGACTTTGTCTCAACCGTGTGGGGACACCTTGGAGGTCAGTGCCAGCATCCTTTTATTCTACCTCGGGCTATTCTTCTCCTCTGACTGGTTTTCCCTTATGCAAGGGCAACACCTTTTGACAGAGAGCAACCTTGGTATGAACTGCCTACACAGCGGACTGGATGAAGTTATTCTCTTGGCCCAGTCCCACAAGAACCTCCATGGTGCAGAAGTGTGGATAAGATTACAAGTCAGATGTGTTGCATAGTCAAAATGTAGAAAGGGTGCCACAAACATGCACACACGTTTGTGTATGTTCACCATAAAATTAGGTAAGAGTTTACACTTGTATCACTATGATCCCAAGCCTGATTTTAACATTATTGCTCTAACTTACCTCCAAAGTGAAGGTAACTAACAGCTACAGACCTCTACAGGGTCTGTACAGATGGAGCTCTTCTCTTTTTGCAGAGGTGGATCTTAGAGATCCCATGTACTTGTGTGCAGAGAAAGGGGAGGTCTTTAGAAACTTCAAGGCCCTTGAACCTACAAAAAAAACACCTTGAAGCAGCCCATGAGGCACTGGAGTAAGGTGCTTCTTACAGCCAGGATCCCACCTGCAGTCCAGATCTAGTCTAGAAAAGATAAGTAAGGTGGGCGTCTGATTCTGTGCTTGCTGCCCTGCTGGGCATTGCTATTCATGAGAGGACACTGCAAAATGAATGCAGTCCCTCTTATTTGGCTGTGGCTTCCAGTGGATCTGTGGGATAAGAGATATTCTAGGCTGTTATCAAACTGGAGAAGGAAGTGGGATATCTGAAAGCACAAACTACTTCCCCCCACTTGCACACTTCCCCCCCAGCTTGCGCATTGACTGCAGAGAAAAAGGAGATTCATACTGGATTTCTGGGTTTGCCTTTTAATGGCAAGACAAAAAACAGCCATAGCCATTTTGCATTGTTCTGCAGTGACCTTTTGCCCAGGCAAAGACATGTAGATGAGAGCCTGAAAGTAGGAGAGGCAGCCCTGCATTCCTGGTTTGATTGTGGTTCTCTTACTTAATGAGTTTTGAAGAGGAAGAGGAGGAGTGGTACACAGGGGAATTTGCATGTCCTCTTGTGTCTGAGGCTTATTTAATTAAAAGACACTAAAAATGTCAGCTCCTGCAAGTTGCAATCTGGATCCTCTTCTGCTCCTCCTATCTCCCTTCCTTCTTCTTCCTTCTTTCAAAGCAAATAAATAAGTCATGTGGAGGAGGCAGGGTGTCAAAGGACAAGACTGCTGCAAAATGCCAGCTTGTACTGATTTTTGTTGGGCTAACATAAATTGTGACAGGGCTCAAGGAAGCATCTGTCTCTTCTCAATAGCAGCTCCAAAATCATAGTGTATTTGTCTCTTGCAGTGGTCCACTAGATTTGATTTGGGGGCAGCTTCTCTCCTGGAAGGGGTGGCTTGAAAGCACAGTCTCTTCTAGTGGTAGCCACTTTGTGGCCAACCCCAGCTGCTCCTCATGGCTGCTCTGGTAGTCCACCTCCTTTGATCCGCTGATGGGTGTCTTCTATGAATGCTCCTTGCCCGTTTAGGCCAAAATGGGCTGGCTGCCTTTGTGAAGGCTTTAACATGCATTACACTGGGAACAACTCATTTTCCCAATGTAGACAAAGGTATGCTCACACAGGAAGCTCATCTCGCTGAGCTTTGTGTGCTTCTCAGCAGCAGCAGGGAGAGGGACATGAAGATGTAGGACTGAGGTGGAGCCAACCTGTTGCAGAGGAACAAGGCAGCATGAACTTGCCCAGCAGGGTTGCCTCTAACTTCCTGCAGCAATCTGAGTTTATAGAAAGGCAGAAGAAAGCTTTATATCCACCTCCCATTCCTTGAGATCATCTTGTGTTAGGCTTCCTATGCAGCTGGGCCACACTGATCCTGTGACTACATGGAATTTTATTACTTGAAGAGAAATTGAAGGAAAGTATCATCTCAGGTGTTGTTTACCAGCTTGCTGTCCTTCACTCAGCAAGCCTGGGTTCTGGGTAGTTGGTGTTATGGGGTAGAAGTGCTGTGAGAAAGGCTAAGGGAAGGGTGTAAATGTCAGAAGTGACTGCCTCATGTCCCTGCACTCATACAACAGACTTGGTACAGACCTATAATCCAGAGCCTTTTTGTCTGAATACACTGTTCCTGCTTGAATGGCAACCATCCTACCTGGAACTTATCAAGGTTTGCATATGCTGAAGCTGGTGCACTCTTTTCCTCAGGGTAGCATGCCATGGTTCAGAGCTAGCTGGCTGGGGAGCCCACCTGCAAGTAGGGGTACTCCCCAATGGACTGAGCATGCAGCCTCTACGAGTCCTTCCCCAGCCTCTGGGCAGAGTCAGATGCTCAGAGATCCTGGCTCCCTGAAGCTGAAGTAAATGTGGCAATGGTGACAAACACAAAAATAATTGTGCTGTACAGACAAGAGCTGAAGTACCTGTTACAGCAGTGAGAGCAACAGTGCTCGTCGTGTCAATTTGTGTGAATCCAGTCTGCATAGGGTCTTGCAATGTGCTAACCTTCATAGCTCCTGAGTACCTTCCCTTTTGCATCCTCTCATCAGCTCCTAGGAAAGCTTGCTGTATGAAGAGTGGATTGTTTTACTACTGCAAAAAGGAAAAGCATAAGAAGATGGAAATAAATGTATTGACAAGTGAGACGAATAAATGTTCCTCTTGCCTGCACTATATAGAGGTGTTTGACATACCAAATTATGACATAACTGTAGGAGTAATGGTTGCAGCTGTTGCCTTTGTAAAATGATCTGCAATACCACATGCTAATAAGTAAGACAACATGTCTAAGTCATTTTATACGGTACCAGAAGACTAATCCCATGCCATGCATGCGTAGTGCCAAATGTGGTCATATCACAGCAGTAGGATCAGTCCTGGAATAATCACATCCTTAGGAAAAAATCCTCTGTGTAATACAATGAAATCCCACTTAAACAAGGCAACCTTGTGAATCCATTAGAGCAGAATCCCCAGAGTACTGCTACCGTAGCTTGCTCCTAGGAAAAAGTGGAATGCTCGTGTAAAAATGAAGACAGGAGCAGAATATTTACTCAGGTGAAAATAGGCTTCTTTTGGGAATTCTTATGGGGAGAGAGACAGAAGAGCTGCAGTTGCCATATGGAGGATATCAAAACCTAAAAACCTCTGTATGCAACCAACCTGTCAAACCAGTTCTACACCCCTAATCCATACAGAACTCCCCTTGTCTTCTGGAGGAATATTATTTGATCTAAGGTGGGGGATCATCCCCCTAATCTGAAGAAGTTCAAGCCCTTGCTGCATTTTACAATTCATACATTCATCCTGTATAGGAACAGGATGCCACAAAGTCCTGAGTCAGTTCTGCAAATCCCATCATTTAGACCCACAAATTCTGGATTATGTTTTCCCTATGCACTTGCTATTAGCTCTAAATACCACCTTTGAAAAAAAATGCTTTTGGCAACTTGCTTCTAAGTATCAACACACATATAAATCTAGGAAATACATGAGAGCTGCCTATTTACTGGATAATGAAACCAGCCTTGCTAATTCACCTGTGCAACACAGACAGATGTGATTTCCCTAATACCTGGGGTTTAATATTTGCAGCATGTTAGGGCACTAAGCTTCCAAATCACAGCAGCTTTTTGTATATCCAAGCAGAACATTGTCCAAGTGTATCTATTCCTTGCTTTTCTTTCACAAAAAGGTATTTATTATATCTATTTGCTGTCACAAAGCATAGGAAGAAGTTAAAAAATAAATAAATAAGCATGTTGGTCAGACATCGTCAGGGTCTCTAAAAGAGCTGCTGAACTATCCACTTCCAAGAAAAGCTGGGGGATTTGAATAGATTGAAGCCAGACTATTCATGGGACTCCTTTTCTCAGCAGGGGGAAAACATGACCTTGAATATTTTCCTAGGCACAGACAAGCATACATCCACCAATACTTGGAAACTCACCCTCCTGCTGCCAGTCTATTGCTTCCCTGTTGGTGGTTTGCAGTTCAGCCTTGGGGCAGTAGCATTGGAAGAGGGAACTGCCATGAAAAGAATGCTGTGCTCTTCTCCCATTCCTTTCCAGTTTCAGACTGGCCAATGAACTGTGTGCTGTTGTGGAGGGTACACAGTTAGGGAGTTTTGAAACACCCTGGGCTCAGCACGTGCACTGACAGTCCCATCTTTTGGTTCCCTTCTGATGCTCTTAAGTCCTGGCTGCTCACCATATAAACCATAAAGATCTGAGCAGATCTTTAATGCAGGAACCTTAGTAGGTCTGGACATTTTTCTGCCTTGAGAAGTACAACTTCTGTATCCATCATCTGCCTGCAGGGATTTCATGGCAAATTCATCCCAATTCAGCGAACAGTTAAAGGACAAACACAATTTCTCTCTTTTTTCCCCCAGTATATTTACTGATCTCAAGAAGTTGCTATCCTGTCCTAGTAGGGGTGCACAAAACATGAAGGCAGGTGAGGCAGGTTTCCAAGGAAAACAGCAAATGTGTTCCCACAGAGCTTCAGCACATGCCGTTTCCAGACAGGGTTTGGTAACATGTTGTAAAGTAACGGGTGATTTAGAACAAAAGGTTTAGGAAAGGTTCTCTACGTAGGCAGAGAGGACATATTTACCCAGTGAGTCGCACAAATTCTTTTTGCCCAAGTAGCTCCTGAATCATCTATACAGCTGTGTATAGAGTATGGTGGAAATTTCAGGCTTCTTGGTAGTCTTGCTGGAGAGGTGACAGTGCTATCCCAGAAATTCCCCTAAACAGATGGCATCTGCAGACCACAAGTCCTACAAATGCATTGGAAGGATGTTAATCAGTTTTGCACGCAGTAAATAAGAATGTGTTCAGGATGGAACATTTTGAGGCTTAGTCACTGAAAAACAGCTTGAAGTTATTTATTGGAGAAGATTTTTGTTTGGGGGCCAGGACAATGGCTGAGAAAGATCAGATCACTTTCAAAAGCGAATAAATCTACCCACGTGCATTTTTTTCTTCCTATCCCTCTTTCCCTCATTACTCATTTTTCTGTCACTTTGTCTGTTGTCTTGACTTACTATAGCTTTTCCCAAAGCAAATTTTCTAAGAGAATGTCAGCTAATTAATTATTGTTTCAACATCATTTTTATCCCAGACCTTTGACCTCTTGGCAGCTCTGCAAAGCATTCTGATGTATTTCGTATTTGCTTAATAAATATTTATTTCAACCAATAAATTGAGAAACAAGACAAAGAATGCATTGTTTTTAAAAAAGAAAGAAGACAGTAGAGGCAAGTTGGAGAAAAGCCACAGGCCAAATTCACTAAACACAGATCAGTGCACTAGGTCACATGAAAAAATGGAATGGTAGGCTCTGTACCTGGTATAGAGTAGAAAGAAACATGTCCAATTATATTACTTTATTATTTTTTAGAATTGACTCTACTTTATTGGCTTTTATTTGTCAATTCCACATGTGAGTGTGCATACTCTCTCTGGAGTGGCATCATTTCTCTTTACCCTGGTGAGGAGGGGATCACTCCTTGCTGAGGGTGATGTGCCAGCGCAGCACTGCAAGTTAGTGGTAACTGCCATTCACCAAGTGATGCATTTGGCACTTTCCTTTGGAGGCCTGATCAGCACCCTTCTGCCTGCTTGCCTTTCTGCCTGCCCTCAAGTCCTGGACAGAGAGTGTAAACTCCTGTCACAGAGCTCTTCTCTTGCAGGACCTGGGGGGAAATCAGCTCTCTGCAGTCGTGGTAACATCAGTGTCAGAAAGAGGGGAAGGATCCAGCTACAGGCCTCCTCAGGACTATATTTTGATGTCTGAGATAAAGTGATGGTTTTATGCCTTTGACCCAGCTTGATGAGAGAGGAGACACTTCTCAAAAGACTCCAGTGGTCTGGATAAGGCATTGTAAGCTAGGAAGTAGGAGGTATCAAGTGAGGACATTGATATGCAACCCTGAAGGTAAAGTTCCCAGTTTCCACATGAAACCAAATGCACTACCTGGGCTGCATTTTACCTAAATTAAGGGCTTGGTGCCACTCCAGCTCTCCTCCAGCTGCTTATCCCATACCCATACTCATGCCTGCCAAGTAGGTGTCTGGCCTTGCTCTTTCAGAGAAATCATCCCAGATAAGTCTGGTTGTTTCTTCAGATAGTATTTTTATTCAGATTAGTTAATTTGACTAGACCAATCAATTTGACTTGATCTGATTTCTGAAGTTCTTCACCAGTCTGCTGAGGTTGGGACTGTCAGACTTCCCTTGTTGTCAGAGGTCCTGGGTTCCTGTGCCTTTGAAGTGCATCCCACACTCCTGTGGCAAGTGGCAGATATCTTGTGCCTTTATTTCTTTGCTGGAAACTGTGGGGAGGGGGGACAGCATGAGAAGACAAAGCAAGGTTTCACAAGCTGTGGTCACTGGTCAGACGGTATGGAGAGAACAGTCCCTCAGCCAAAACAGGGCCCTGAGCCAAGCTTTCTGGATCTTTTTTGTCAGCTCTCCTACACATTTCCTGGAGGATTTTGAAGGAATCATTTAAGCTAAATTGGGCATTTGCATCCAAAAGAACAGCTAAATTAACTTGATTTTCAGAGGTGCTGAAAGCTTACAGCTTCTGTTTGAAAAAGAAAGGTTATGAGTGTTTTTACAGGGCAGGAAGTGCCTGCCCTTAGAGCTCTGGTTTCTTCATACTATCTTCATCTTTCTTTGCCATTGCTTTCCAAATCTGTAGACTAAGGAGAGCAATAGCTAATCGAAGGGCTCAGAGAGTTAATTCAGTAATGTTTGCAAAGAGCTCTGAGATCTCAGATGGAAGGCACTATATAAATGCAAAGTATTATTTTATGATGATCAGTTAGTAGCATTTCATCATTTCAAATGGTACCAATTATACACAATGTACATTGATATATACACTCTATTTTCATAAAGTGCTGTTGCATTTGATTCAAACTTATTTGCAGTCTGATAACTACACATGTATTAATAATACCAGGAAGGAGAAAGTTTTGCATAGTCTATAATTTGTAAAATTATTTTCCAAACATTATTTTGTATACACTGAATGTCAGATTCACTGGCCTGTGTGCAGGACCCTTGTATTGTGCTGGTGACACAAATGTGTTTACCAGTGAGGATGGCTCTGGACAGATTCAGTCTGTGAATGGTGATACGTGAGATCTTCTCATGTACTTTTAAATAGACTAATTCTTACTTAAAGAAGTAACTAAAGATTGCTGTAAGAAAGTCTCAATGGATACTCCAAATTAAGACCATGCACCTAATCTGCTGTCTATTTTCAGTATACAATAGCATGATTTATTCATATTCAATAAAAATATCTAGGAATGCCCCCCTCCTCCCCCTGTATAAAAAAATTAATTTTGTTCCTATAGCTTTGACAGTCCTTTCTTTTTCAGACTGTGCATATGACATCACTAAAAAAAGCTATCAAATTATACAGCTAAACTCAGATGTAGTGTGCAACTTTGTGTGTCCAACATTCATTTCTCTGGTAAAACACTGGAAGGCAAGCCATGAGTTTTCTTTCATTCCCTCACCTCTGTCTCTAGGAGTTGCATCTGTATTCCCCCATTGTATTCTCAGCCTTTGCAATTGTTTTAGAAGACTTGTGATATTTTGTTCTCTTTCTTTCTGTCCCTCAGCTGGCACACTGCAGAGAAAACACCCACAGGCATCGTAGCTGTTGAACAGCTTGGGAACTTGTGCCAGTGTGTCCCAGTGACTTCTGAACGGACACAGGTAGGCCTCATTAACCTACATTTAACCACGTAGACACAGAGACACACCTGGTGAGATCTCTGCTGTGCTCACAGCCTTTAATACATGAGGACAGAGGTGAGCCAACCCTACACATCACCTGTCAAAATTTTGATGTGGTCAAGAACCACTATACCTACTCCCTGTCCTTAAAGAGCAGGGAGATGCTCAGGATGGGGTCCAAGGAAGGGGACAACTCCCACTACTTCTTCATGTACCTCTTGATTATTTGGTGGCTCAGCAATGACTGCTGGACAGTTTCTTCCTTCCTAGACCAGGGCTTTAGCTGACCCAGCGCATCGTGGTCTCCCTGCAGGTGGGAGCTGCCCCGGAATTCCCTGGACACTACATTTAGCTGCGGAACCCCAGTGCAGCCCCTCTGCCTGTTGGGTGCTGATGGCACTGTGCACCAGGGGCCTGGACAGCAACTGTGTTGGAGGAGGGAGGTGAAGTGCCTGGAGAGGGTTCCAGTGTTCTGTGAAGACACTCCCAGGCTTTGCAATGAGGCAACATCACTTGCTAGTGCAGGAGGCAGTGAGAAGATGATGTTCGTATATCTCTGCTGGAAGTCTTTGACTCCGTGTTCTTAAAGACACAGACAGCAAGCATAGAGGGCACTGGCACCCTGCTGACTTGAATTTGCAGTTCGCTTGAGCTCAGTTTCAAAAAAGCCTTTCTTTTGAGTACATAACATACCAACTCCCCCAGTGCCTCACATGCAACTTAAGAAAAAACATTCACAGCTCTATCCTCTCACAGTGGTTCAGGCAGTTCCAGGCTTCACAAAATATCTGGGAATACAGGAAGAAATTATATTTTCCAGTGAATGTAATTTCATCAGGTTCTTTCTGCATCTTAGAGCTGTGCTGTTTCTGAGTCTGATCTATTTGAGGACAGTTGCATAATTTAAGTTATTGATGGAAGTGTCTGTAGGATAAAGGGTTTCGGTTTTCCTGTTTTTTTCTCAGCCATATTTCACTCCCTCACTTTGAGCCTGTGCCAGCACATTGGGTTTAAATATTTGATGGCAAGAAAATTGTTTTATTTAGCTTATAGTTGAACATAAGACTTTTCTAGCAACAGAACTACAAAAATCATCTTAGCACAAGATCTAGAGGAGAAGGGGGTTGTGTGCAATTGCACAACATGACAAGAGGTTCAGATCACAGAAATGAAGGCTGGCTATTGACACAGCGATGGGGAAGGGAAATTCAAGGCATAAACCAAGAGCAAATTGCAGTGTGGCAGACACAGGCTGTGCATGAGAAATGAGTGGGCTGTGTGTTGAAATGGACAC